GGGTGTATTCGCGATGGACTTCGAATACGAAATGTAGCATTTGTGCCTCGCGTTTTGCACGCGCGTTATACAGAAAGAATAAAAGAAAAACAAATACGACAAATTCGTCTGATAGAAGGACTGCTCGGAAGGGAGTTGGAAAGAGACTTGTTTTCCATTCAGCGCCGCTGAATGCAAAACTATCCCCGGCACTTCCGCCTTTCTCTCCCCGGTGGAAAAAGTTGGCTCGATACGAATGTCCCGTTGACGCTTCTTCCATTTTCACGAATACAGCGGACATTTCTGCGACGCGCGCAGTTTTCCGATAGCGAAAATTACGGGGATCGTCTAAACGCCGTTCTGTTTTGTCGATAAAACATCATTTTTTTTCTTTTTATACTGCTTAAATAGAATAAAGGAACTCTTTTCCACGATTAAAATATATATCGAAACAAACCGCGAACCTATCGATTTTAAATCTTTCAGAATAATTTTTATTTAAAATTGAATGATGGGTTCAAGTTACTGTTGTCCCAGAGGAAATTAAAATAATTGTACTGACAAATATTCTTATTAAAATAATTGTATTTATTAGAGGAATATCAAAGGGATTAAAAAAGGTTTAATTCCTAAAGGAGGTCATAGTTGACCAATTTCTATTGATGGTGCTAAGGATGAATGAAAGTATGCTCAAAAAATGAAATAAAGAAAAAAATTTCTAATTTTTATTTAAAATTGAATGATGGGTTCAAGTTACTGTTGTCCCAGAGGAAATTAAAATAATTGTATTTATTAGAGGAATATCAAAGGGATTAAAAAAGGTTTAATTCCTAAAGGAGGTCATAGTTGACCAATTTCTATTGATGGTGCTAAGGATGAATGAAAGTATGCTCAAGAAAATGAAATGAAGAAAAAAATTTCTGAAATGATAAATAAGATTATTCCTAGTCGAAGTCCTAAATAAACAATATGAGTGTGTCATCCTTGAAATGTGCATGAAATTGATAAAAGAATAATATAATTTATTTTATAAAAAATCAATTATAATTATTGAAATTAAATTATTAAATAAACCTATCGATTTTACGGTCGATTAAAAATAAAAAAATCATGTTTGATCTATATAATAGGATCGTAAACGAGCCGCTAATTAATCTACCTAGACGCGTAGCCGGACGTAGTACGTTCTCGTAGAATTTGAAACACGTGTACAGGAAACCCTCGACGTCGAACCCTAGGGCGTGTCGATTTAGACGTAACGATAATTCAAATGACATTTGCAGTCACGCGTATAAGTTTGCGTCTCCGAGGGGACTCGGCGACACTCTCGTGTAACTCGCGTGAAACTCCGTCGAAATACTAATGCGCCGGTGTTCGCGCATAATACAGATAAATCACCGTGTTCCCTTGATTTCCCTATGCAGTCGCGCCACATCTCTCTCTCTCTATGCGACCGTCTCTGCATTTTCCATTCATGAATATGGAGAGTTTCGAAAGAACGCGGGAAAGCAATCGCGAGAATCGGATTAATCCGCTATAAAACTGTCAAAATTATCTCGTCGCGCAAATATCACCGATTGATATATACTTCCATCGGGAGAACAATCGCATGTAATTTAACGCGTAATCGTGTCGAGAAGATTTTGCGGCGGTTATCTATAATGGATTAATCTCTCGTCGCCATAGTGACATAAGGGAGATTGAAAAATAAAAATGTCGCTATATTTGAGTTGGGTTTGCGCTTTCCCGCAAGCTCGGAGAAGAAAGGAAGCAGCGAAGAAGTCGCTGTCCATATTTACCGAATGTGAATAAGATATGAGATTTAAGAGGGATTTTTCTACTTTTCGGTGGAAAACCTAACCGGCTGTTTTGTTCCGCCGCGAATTATCCCGGGAGATACTGAGAATATAACGTCACGGCGCATTTCTGAAACGTGCATACACACTCGGGGCCACAATCTCGACAGCCATTGAAAATTGTATATTGCTATGTTTCTATTGTTTTCGCCTCTCCGTCATGGAAAATTCTGCAACCTCGCATGCAAATTTCTTGATAATCGCATCAGCAAAGCAATACGATTAGAATCGGTTACTGTCTCCCGATTCTGTCTACGTTCGATAATCTCTTCCGTCGGTTATTTTGCATAAAATCGAATATTACAATCCGTGAGAATTTACGAGCCGCGTTTATATATATTTTCGCGAAAATATTTCATCGTCTGTATTTGTATGATGCATAATTTTTGTGCATAATTTTAATACATTATTTTAGCACGATAATGCAAAAAAGGATGAACGAAAACGAGCAAATATAGCAAAAAAATTAATAAATTTCCATTTTTTATATATGTATTATACATTTCCATTTCTGTTTATAAAACCAGCTTGGAATCTGAAAAGTTTCTCTTTCATAATCGACAATAAAATCATGAGACTCTGTGCTTGATTTTCAACAAAAAGAATTTATTATTAAAATATGTATACTTAAATTCTCGATCGTCACTATTTTATTTTAGAAATAATCGATTGTGAAACTGTCTTGAAAGAATTTAAACGGCTTTTAAATCAGAATCTTGGACATTTACGCGAATATCGATATTCCTGTAAAAAGTTTGTAACGATGAAAAATCGAAAAATATTATATACTGATTAATTTTATTATTTATTTAGCGCGATTTATTATAGGAAAATGGCAATTCTATACTTGTCAATCACGATTATGCGTTTCACAATGTCTTATTTTTTCTCCCCGACAGAGAAAAAAGAAAATATACGATATACTATAGATAGACGCAATATGAACGAGTGGAAAGTGGTTGTAAAAAGCAGCGCTACATGAATCGCTCGTTAACGATTGTTCTGTATAAAAGCGTCGAAAGGGGCACAGCTCTCTATTTACAGACGTGGAGTCCGTCACGTTAGAGGGATGGAATTACAAAAGAATGCTCGTCTAGCACAAAGAAATTGGTTCGAGCTCTCAAATGAGTGGTACTAATATTGAATACAAATTGAGGTGGGAAACGGACTAATAAGAGAGCCAGCTACAGAAATTAGGAGCAACAAACTTGTTTCTTGTTACTGAAAATCTTTATTTCATTTCAGCATTTCGCGCTATCTTCAACAGATCGATTGAGGCACGAATTTTTTTTTCCTTTGTTAATCAATTTGCTGAAGATGATCCAAAAGTTCTGAAATGTTCAAATTAAATAAAGAAGATTCAAAAGAAATTTATTGCCCCTAATTGGCTGGCTTTTATTAATTCATTTCCTGAGTTTGTATTTATATATCAGGGTCAGATTTATATTTTATATACTAATATTAAAGTTTCTTGATATTTCTTCAATTAGCCTTCTTCAAAAGCCGAGAAATAAGTCGTAAATACTTAATGATGTTAACACGGTATCATAAAGTCGTAATACACAAGTAAATTGTCGTACTAAACTGCTAATAAACTTGGAAAGAATTTAATGCGAATTTCTTCAAAAGAAGACATTTCAGACATTTACGCGATTTATATCGATTCATTAAATTATTCGTACAATTTAAAAGCGAAATAAATTAATCGTTTGATTACTTATTCAGCGCGATATTATAAAAAGAAGAAGATGGCAATTAATCTCTTATTAATTATTTTCAGTACAACTTAATCTTTTATAAAGACTCGGTGTATAAAATTGCGAGGAAAAAAGCGAATGATTTTGCGTCAGAGATTCTCAGAACCATGGGAAATTTACCTCCACTAAGTAATGAACGTAATGAAGTGGTCTCTTGATTAGCCTAGCCAAGGATGATGATGAAGGACCGTCAGTACTAAATGATCTTTGGCGGAAATTTCGAGTGTATCGTTCGACGATACGATGACAGCTGTCAGTGTTTTATCGAGGCACGTTTAAATTCCCGTTATCCGGAGGCTCCGCTTTTAACCATAAAATTCTCTCGTCGATAACGCCCAGGCTTGCCGAAGCGGGATAAACCGACGACCGTCGGTAAGCAAACTGCTTCCTCCCATGTCTGAGCAATATTCGAGCTATACTACTTGCCGCGAAATTACCCTCCGCTTTGGCGCTCGAACAGTAAAAAGGAAAACTACGAATTTCGACGGTACCGCATCGAATTCATTCGATCTGTTTCAATTTTTATATCCCAGAAACGGAATAATCACTCTTCCAAAATTGTTTCTTATATTCGATATATAGATCCAACACTCCAAAATATATTTCTTCATCATGTTACGTGATGCGGAGAAACTTCAAAGTTAAACTTGTAAAAGGAAGCCATTTTAACTCGATTTATAACGCTTAGAAAAGTTTCATATTCCGTTCAAAATTAAATATATTCTTGGAATTCCCAACCTTAAGTTTCTCGAAATTGACGTGATAAAGCATTTCCGAAAATAGAAAAGCATATGATTTTGAACAACTTTTTCTACAAAGGATAATTATTCCATTTCTCTTGAATCTATGTTTTCTCGTATAATAAATCAGTAGTATTTGATTGTGTGCAAGAAAATGAGAGCTTTTTCTGAAAAATGTTCGCTCAATAAAGTTACAAAACGAATGTAATAAGTAGAAAGACAATGCGCGCACGATTTTGTGAGATAAAATAGAATGTCATTCTTACAATTGTGAAAAAAGATAACTCAAAATTAATGATATTCTATATTAAGTTGTCATATCTTCAAAATAAATAATATTGTAATCGCAGCTCCTTTTACCTCCCGTCGGAGTCTACGACTTTAAATAGAATATATATGTATACTTACTTGTTCTATATTTATTGGCACGTTATTAACTATTGCAATTTATATATACAAACGAGACATGGAAATCCAAAAGAAATATATTTATATTGAATATTGGTACTAATGTGATACGATTATTCATCTGTTATTTCTATTAATGATTATTCATCTTATAGCCATTTATATTACTCCATTGTTTATATTAATATATCATCGACGTCAAATCAATGATTTAATAAAATAGAAGAACGGAATAATAATTATTTCGGAGAATGATATGAGTTCTCTCGGCTATTTCGCGAAATGAAAAAAAGATCACTCACCCAAGAGCTTTTGTGCTGATAAGAGGTGTCTTCAGATTCAGAAAACCATTTTTCTTGGTAGGTTGCTGTTGACTCGAACCGTCGCCATTTTCATTCTGATCTTCGAGATCGTCGTCCCGTTGCTTGGACTTTTTGCGGAGATAATGCCACATCGCTAATGCAAGTGCTATTAAAATTGCGAGAGCTGCAACTGTTCCGAAAACTGCTGTCAGTATGACGCTACGACGTTCCATTCCCACCTGGAATGCATAAGAAAACACACATCCATCAGGATAAACGCATTTATCCGTCACTCGTGTTTACGTCATTCTCGCGATACAATCTTCAATCGAACAAATCCCATGAATCACGTTCGAAACAGCTTGTTATTTTTTATTATCATTTGTAAAATTGATAAAAACAAAATAACAAGTTATTCTCGAATTTCTTCAAGTTTTTTCATGTGAAAATGAGCTACGTTATTTTTTTGTCGAACGACACAATGAAGACATCGACGCTTTTCATAAAAAGATGATACGAGCGAGTACTTAATAAATTCGAGGAGATATAAGATTTTTTTCCCGACAGAGAAAACACGGCTGTGCAACGTTGGCGACGAGAATGCGTCTTTCTCTTACAGGTCAGAACTTGGCATGATGGAGCACGTCCGAAAAATTCATTCGCAGACTTCGCACGTACTGTGAGGTTGCTGCAGCCAAGGCAAGAGCGCCCGGTCAATAATACGGAGGAGTGTAATACCTTGACAGTGATCTACACATACATACGTAGCCGCGCTGTCTACAGTAGACATAGGGAAGGCATCGGCGCTAGACGTTACGCTCATGAGAGATAAACCTTCCTGTCATTCCACGCACGAATGAGATTTGGCGGACGCAATTTCGGATATCTACACGTGCACGCCAACTATTTCGGTCGCGGATAAGCCACGTCAAATAAAGACGCGAGTGATGTCGTTTGAAAGACCGTAACTTGATTGATCGAGGCATTCCTATGAATATCTCCGCGCACGAATTGTTAACAGTATTATTCGTGTATTCCAGCAAAATTATACGGGACCATCGTGGCGAGATTGAAATTATTGTTATCAATATTTCAGGCGTTTTTCAATGTACAGTTGTTACGCGAGAAAGTTTCAAAGTATTATCTTGAATTATTCTAAAGGTATTAATAATTTGTACTCTGCGTTACGTAAGTTGATAAGAATCATCCTTATGCGTAAATTAAAAAATTAAATGAAATTCTAATTCGAAGTAACCGCTTTATCTGGAGGATATAATCATTCCCATTTATATTCGAGAAATGTTGATATTATTACGAGATAGCATCAAAATATAGTCCTGCTTTGTTAGCACTTTGCAAATTAATTTTGCCTTATCTGCTTGACGAATGCGAAAAATGGATAGATGAAATTGTTCCTAGGAAACGTCGAAAATTTTGTATTCTTTTCAAATGATTTTATAATTTAGTTATTATGTGGACGCAAAAAGGCAAATCGCATCGCACATAATTTCATTTTGCTTAATTGTTCTATAAATCTTTTGACTCAACCTAATAAATAATGGAGATTTTTCCCGAGTCACGTATACCCTTAATTTGGAAGCATTATTTCCAATGACGTTCAAGTTAAACTGTGACTTAAAAGAAGACGCCTCTATATTTTACCTCTCACGACCCTTTTAAAAGAGCTAACGCGTTTCCATAGACATTCTGGATACAGCCACGCGATATTTTCGATTCTCGTAGATCAACCTATTCTTCTTCTTCTCGAAAAAGCCGTTAATAAAATATTATAATTAATTATCTAATTTAATTTTTTTATAACATCTTCTTGAGAAAATCTCATTAATTTTTCCTCTAAATATTCATTTCTTTACTTATCTCTATTCTTCAAAATATTTGAATATTTTATTCTTAATTTAAAAATTTCCATTATAAAAAAATACTATTATAATTCTAATAAATCCTAATAAATTCTACTATAATTTCACCAAAATGATCTATATACCATAAATGATATTCCTGAGAAAGGATTATTCGAGACTATTACTTTTAAGATTACACAGCAATGCCAATTAAATTCACGACGATGCGATGTAAAATCCTTGTAAGGGGCTCCTTGCAGAAAACGTTAACAAACGAACGAGGAAAAGGTCTGCAATAATAATACGGTACGAGCCCGGGCTCATTAACATTATGGCTCTGTCCGGGCGTGTTTTGCGAGCGAATGCGACTAAGTGCACTTTAGAATGAAGAGCCGTTTTTCACCACGGAGACGCGTACCATTTAAACTTGTTACTTCATGCGTCCCCATTGAAACGCGATCATCGGTTGATAAAGCGATTACAGTTTGCGGACAGAGAAAATACTGGCGCGCAATCATCGGTGACTAATCAACGATGGCTTTCAAGCAATTTTAAATGCACGGAATGGCCGCAATCAGTTTTTCCGTTCGCTAAAAGCTAATGAATTCTACAGGCCGTATTGACGCGATAATTATCGCGCAGTGATACAAGTCAGCGTTGCGTCATACGTTGTATAAAAGCTTCATTATAGGTTGTCATAACGAGTAAAATATATTTCTCTTTGCAATCAAGTTGTATAGGAAAAAGTCTGCAATTTGATAAGCGGCTGTTACATAATTTTGTAATTTTTGTTGAAACGAGGACCGCACTTTTTACGGTATGAAAATTACATATATATATATATATATATATATATATATCATTTTAAAAAATTTCATTTACGTGATGTAAAAATCATATTTAGCAACTGATAATGCAAAAAGAATTTGCATTTAATGTATATAAAATGCAAAACAGTATAAAGAGGTATCAAGTAAAATGTTCACTTGACGTAAGTGAAGATAATTATACATTAAATGCTACTGCAAAAGAGATTAAGCACGTGGCGGTTTCGTTTCATTGTTTAAAATTACACTGAGCTATGGCAGATTAAGATAAATACCTCAACATACAAAATTGAAAATAGAATTAATGCGGATTACAGCGTAAAAAGTTAAATGCGTAGCTTTATGCTTCAAATCGTACATTATCTAGCTTTATACATTAAAGAAGAGTATCAAAGAATTTTCGATTGAAAGGAAATGGTGCTGTTCTGTAACGCATTATAAATGTACATTTCACAGTAGCACTTAGTGTTGGAAGCATAAAATAATAAAAGGCTTTAAAAATATTATTTTTTTCCAATTTTGTGCAATGAGAAAGATTTCTAATGAATTTTAAATATCGTTCTAAAATATTTGCAGAAACAACATTTTTCTATGTTTTTTCTTTTTTAGTTAAATTTTTTTTTATCGCAGAAAGAAAGAAATATGCCCGTGATATTATTTTCTTGTACCTACATTTATTTAGATGAACGAAAAGAATAAGCAAAAATGTCAGAATTGAGGCAATAACAATTTCCAACATCGTATAAATCAAAGTATAAAATATTCATCAACACAAATAATCAGTGGATCTAATTTAAAGAAAGTACCTACAGAGATACAGGAGTTTTATTATACAAACACTTACGTAATTCAAAAATAAAGTATAATTTAAATTGATTAGATGCTATATATATAATGTTCAAGATAGATCAAAATTAAATTGATATTAGAAATTACGGTGCTTTAACGTCATAAAGTTTCAACAACGCTAAAGTATGCTTTTACGAAGATTATAAATAATTGAAAGCTGTTGTTTAAAGTTCATTAATTCGTTTTATAAATAAATATTTTTCCGATAAAAAATATTCATCGTGCAGAAAAAATCTATGAAATTTACTTCGTCGTCCACGTGTAACAAATGACACGTCATTACGACTAAATTTAAAACTTTATCAGCGCACGAATTTCGTTACTTACAAGTTTGCGAGCACCTGAATCGACTGCTCTGAACGTGTCATTGAAATTCGGATCCAACTCCGAGAAGTATTTTCTCGCGAGTCCCGCATTACACCATGCTTTCCTTCTTCATGATATTTAAAGACGCGTTAGCGAAAGTTTTCACTCGCGTAAAAATAACCCCTTTAAGATTTCGCAATTTAACCAAGGAGCAGTATATTCTCTCAAAGCTCCGTCTGACTGATTTAAGCAGGATGGATTGGAATCATCATCCTCCAGAGACGTATTTACGGTGAAACATTTAACAACCGGAACGGACCGCGCATATAATCCCTACATATGTATCCCTCTTAAGAAAATACATACGCTGACATATGAAATATGCATTGTAAACAAGAACATGTTGACGCGTGAGAAGAAGATTTAATTTTTTTTATTCAGAAAAGTGTTCATGCAATTTTTAAACTTGTATAGGTATTTAACTTCTTCCTCGTGATATTTTTATTCAGATGTCATTCAAAGTGATTTAAAATGCTTTTATAAACTTTTAAATACATATAAATTACTCATTCTGTCCGAAATATAAACGAGACACAAGGAAATAGGAAATTTTTATAATAATATTTCTTCGTGATCGATCGTTAGAGCGAAAAAAAACAAGTAACTTATTTTAGTTGTACATCTTGAAAAGTTGGAAAAGATAGATGATAGCTTGAAACCAAGCTATCTGGAGTCACGAGAATCAGCAATGTCACAATATAGACAGATAATATTTCGTTGTTGAGACTATCTTTAGTTGTTGGAAAAGTAACGTATGAGTTATTCGATAGACTGACAAAAGTTTCGTATCCATTTATTATAGCAAGGAGATACTTGTCCTATCTCTTATATTTCAGAAGCTTTCAAGCCGCACTATTTCGATACTAATATATTTCTGACAACTTAAAATAGGTGAAATACGAAAAGAAAAATAATACACAGCACAAAATAAAAAAAAACTGCTAATTTACTAATTGAGTCTGGAAGAGACGAGCACTACTAAGATTAATTCGACATTAAATGAGATCGTTAAAATTAATTTTTGCAATAGGCCCATTATATTGATGGCAAAAACGTTAAACTTCATTTAGTATGAAATACCTGCTTAGCGAAAGTGCATCACAAGCAATTTGTAATATTTTCAAAATTAACTTTATCAAAACTTTCATTTCATCTTTGCTCTTATTTAGCAGAAATATTATCCTGCATGTTTTTTTTTTTAATAATAATTATACTTTTATCTACATTAAAATTAACAAAAGTTCAAATAATCTGGAAATTTACGTTTTCTTCTGTCTCATAAATTATGATATAATCGACAAGGCAAATCGCAAAAATAACCTTTCTGGTAACGATAAATTAGATAAAATGCATGATAATTCAAGTTCTTGGTGAAATACACAAAAACCGAGATTTTGAATGCAGTTAGTTGCTTTTAATGAGCCATCAAAATGCGATAATAATCCGGAACAAAATAAATCATCGATAAAAATAGATAAGGTGAAGCGCGAACGAGATTTTCCTTTCGTAATCATTCCAGCACAATTCCTGGCATTCCGCCATGAATAAGGGTAAGTTAAGATTCAATTAAAGTTCTGCCGCGAAGATCACGGTCATTGAATTTTTTCACGATTCATTGATTGAAGATGCACCATTTACTTTGAATTCAAATATTACTATTTAATATTCGTATTTTTAATAATTATTTTTTATATTATATTATCTTTGGTTCTCACAGATTTGACATTTTTTTAAATTCGAAATTGAAAATATATAAGCCTATTGTTATTGAAATCTACCCGTATAATGCGCATAACATGTCTCGAGAGTGGCATACAAAGAATGATTTCCCCTGTGTATAATCGATACTCATCCTGTTTTTGAATTGAAGTTTCACAGGTAGAATAGCCTTTTTTACATAATATTTCTGTAACGCTAAAAATGAATAAAACATCGCTACGTTTTGTGAAATAATTCAATAAATTTTAATCACATTTTTTAAAACTGCACCAGATCATATTTGAAAAGTGCTATGTAATAATTTTTTTAGAATTGTAGTACGATTAAATTAATCAACTATAATAATTGTCAAATTACCAAAGTATTAGAGATCAAAAACCACACAGTATATATCCTCCAAAAACTATATGGATACATATATCTACATTCTGTTGATTTTTCTAATGAGAGGGAAGATGAAATTTTTCACACTAATTTCCAAGCAGTTCCTCTGAGTAAACGTCTTAAATTTATTAATTAAAAACCAACGAACACTAGTAAGAAAAGAACGATATATTTAATTCGACCCAAACTAGCCGAGAAAATTTTTATTTTATTTCCACAACGTTTCGACCATCTGTTTTTGGTCCTTTGATGATTTTTTGACGATCCATCATAACGATAAGATGCGGTTACTTTCTTTCAAAAGTTATTTCAAATGTTTTTAAAAAAGTCCGATAATCATATTGTTTAATAATCATGACAACAGTGTCAACTAACTGCGTTTTTATCAAGAAATTTTTCACTTGAAAAGGACCAAAAACAGATGGTCGAAACGTTGTGGAAATCAAATAAAAATTTTCTTGGCTAGTTTGAATTCGAATTAAATACATCGTTCCTATTTTAAATACCACTAGCGACGTTATAAGTATTCAATTTGACTAGTAAGAAATATTAATAACAATCCCCAACACTTTTCTCCCTCTTTTTCCCTTTCTCTGTCGCTCTTTCCCTCTCATTTGCCGCATCTTTTTTATTTCCGCGAAAGATAAAAATCCAGAAATATGCATCTAAAAGCAATCATCTGCTCCAGCGCTCTGCGTCGCCAAATTTCCCCATCGGTTTGCCTTTCCGCCGCTGGTTATTGGCGAACCGCCAGGAATGAGACTTGGTGAACCAATTAAAGTGGTCCGCGCCGATAGGAGAGCGCCCACGTTTCGCGCCCAGCCGCTTACCGTCGCGGAGAAAAATCAACTCCGATTCCCATCACAGCCGCGCGGAAGCAAGCGGAGGCGTGTAATTTAACGTCGTAATTAAATCGCCCCGCTTTATTTCCGGCTAGCTGGCAGTTTGTCGACCGAGAGAAGGAGCAATTGCGCACACGCATGCATCAAATCGCTACCACGCCACGGTTGAATGACAGTTTATATACGATCGCGCATGCGGAATTTGCGCGACACGCATATCCACACACACACACACACACATATATATATATATATATATATATATATATATATATATATATATGTATATATATATATATATATATATATATATATATATATATATATATATATATGTATATATATATATATATATACACACATGCAACGGTGGAAAAACGTCACAGCGACCTGCATTCTGCAGCGGAGAAAAAGCCCAGTGTACGCCGAGGGTAGCACGCAGATGTCAGCACTTATCGCGCACCCTCGAATAAGGGGGTTGAAAAATATATCGTCTTCGAGCAACAAAACGTTCCTCACCATCCCTCGATGGTATCGCTAAAGCTTTCTATCTCTGCGCGTTCACCCTCACCCAATTTCTCTTTCTCCGCTTGCTCCACTTCTCGCGCACCCTCTATCATCCCCTTCTTCTCTCTCTCTCTCTCTGTCTCGACCGGTGTTTCTCGTCCGCCACTCGTCGAATACCGCGAGTGAATTCGCGGCTGACTCGACAGAGGATTCGGTCCTCTCCGGAAATTCTCGCGCACCTTCGGAGGGTCGCACCACCGGGCTCTGTCAGTTGTTGCCCCAGTGCGTTATCCCGTGACCCGCGAGAATTTCATCCCTTTCCCTACCCTCGCCTCATCGGAAAGCCAATTACGTGATTACCACCTTTGCGCGCATCCATATGCTAATGAAGATCTGGTCGGGAGATCAACACCGAATCAAATGCGGATTTGTAACACGGAGGTAGCTGTCAAAATTTGAAATGCTAAAAAAATATACCGGGTTTAATAGAATTGGTAACGGTTGACGTTAAAAGCGTGTTTTTGGGGTTTTTTTTCTGATAAATCCAGAGTAAAGCAAAATGAATATTTAAAAAAAGAGAGAAATAGTCATAACGGAATTAGTCTCTCAAAATTTGCAAATATTTCTTTTTCTTCTTCGATTAATTTACAAAGTTAATACCGACTCTTCTTTGATAAAAATTGTATCAGTTGTTATCGCCTTTATATCTAATTTAGATCAAGATGAATGATGACATTAACTTATGGATCAAAGGTTAATAACTTTTACGTATATTATAAAAAAGTTTAATTTCGTTTACTCTTTTTAAAGGATGAGGATCGCATCTGGTTTCTAAATTATTTTGAGTGAATGAGAGAGAGAGAGAGAACTGAGAACGCTAATATTTGCTCAGATGCAAATCTGTAATTCTGTCATCCTCAATTCAAAGTTTGCAAAGTCCGTTCGATTTAAATAATTATTCAAAGAATTATGTCTCGTCACACGTGTTTTATAGATAATCTCGAAACGAACATTTTTAAGTCTTGTATATTTTAACGTAATTTGAATTATTTATCAGTTATGTGTCTCAAATTATTTTAATATTGACGTACAATTATCAAAACCAAGGATATAATAATAAACTATCGTTGAGCATAGAAAAAATCGTGACTAGAACTTGGATGGTACGATAATAAAACAGCATGTTATGAGATTTATTCGTATATACGGATAAGCCATTAAAAATTCATTTCCACGAATTCATCCCACTCCAAATTTCCGCAATTTAATTTGACGACCGATTGCAAATCGCATCGCTAAAATATTATTGACAAATTGGTATTGGTTTTTCGCGCAAGCAAATTAAATTATGTGATTAGGTAATTATGATTATTTCCAATATTCCATACATCATTTTATCACTTTATTTTTCGTAATAGTAATAATAAAAATAAATAGGCAATTAATAAGTACCTATATATAATTAACTCTTCTTTTATCTGTAAAACGAGCCTCGTTCCCTTTCTTAATCATTTCTTTAATTGTATAAAATCTAATCGTCAAATTAGTTGCATATAAAAGTAGATTACTGCCGTACAAAATATCGTAATAGATCAACGAAAGAAATTTTGATCAAATTAATTTATGCTAATAAGTCATTCTATTTATATGTGCATTGCGTATAAAGTCACGCATAATTAATAGCATCATTATATTGTTAATTTTAGTAAAATGGACCGTGTTGCGCATTTGTCGCGTCATTATTGCGATAAGCGCGATAATATAAATATGACTAATATTGGCCGTTCCCATCGCGAATTGTATCCCACCTGACGTCGGAAAATCGATTACGAGGTCATGTTTTAGTGATCTCCATGAGAAATTCAAAATACGCACTACGCGCGATATGATAAAACTGATTGCTTTTTATAGCAGATAGAATCGATAATCCGCAACTCGATTAAATTGATTTAACGCTCAATCTCAGTCGTTGAGTGCAGATATAACGCGAGCTAAAGCGAAAACGAAATGAGTATATAGTTGAGACTTTTCATGAAATGGAAGTTTCGGACGATTTAGCGTCCGACAATAATGAATTAAACTCTCGCGCAGCGAGATGGAAAGGGAAAGAGCGAGAGACCCTGTGTCTTAAGTGCGAAAATGTGCTATTAAAATGATAAATGAAAATTACAGAACAGACTAAAATTATGGTTGAAAAAGACGTAAAATATTAAGAGCTAAATGACACAGTTGCGAAACAGAAACTGTCCGACATCGATATCAGTGTTATAATAAATGGATCATCGATCAAATTTGAACATATCCATGTGCGACAAACGGTGATTGGGTGATTGATGATGCTCTGATTTCCCTGAACAATAGTAGTAAAATGACATAAATGTACACACCATACTATTCGGTGTGAAATGACAGCGCCATCAATAACTCGACTATATCGATTATTTCGCGTGTAGTTTTGCGAATATATATGTTGTATATCGAATTTTATTATGGAAAGACATAAAAACACGACACGAAATCACCAACATATAGTATATCAAATATTTGCACTCACATAATTTTTTTCATCCATTCGGTAATAATTTCAAGATTATAGATCCTTTCATATACGTATTTATAGCCAATTTTTCTCAAGTAAAATGATGAATGAGATCGTAATAAGAAAACGATTTCTAAACTTTTTCTAGAAAAGTATATATAAACATAAATGTTGTATTAGATATTTTTCTCCGAGTTCTCCGGTATGTTTCACTTTACTATATGAAAATTCATTTCTCTTTCAGAATTTTTATGAAAAAGACAGAAATTGTTGATTTCGAAATAACTGAGAAGTTTATTTTAAAAAAGAATTATTTCAGTTTACGTCTAAAAAGAAATAAGAATTAATATCTGATCACAACAAAGGCATTATTTCTTTCACAATCTTCATTGGTGACATTAATTAAAAGCTTTTAGAAAGAGCTAATTAAAAGATATAATTATCAACCATTCTCATTATCGAAGATCGTTTTAATAATACAATATTTTTTGTTCATACACAAGAAATATTTTAAATTCTACAATATTTCAATTTCTCGTCAAATGTGCTTTATCACAATTTTATATTTAACACAAATCATTTCTCTGTACATATATAAATATATATTTTCAGCAAATCTCTAGATAAATCTTTAATATCTCTTATGCAATGTAAAATGTAAATACATATCGCCATCTTGCAACCCCTAAAAGAAGCGAATTTACTTGGATTCATTTATTCTACCAGAAATAGTTATCGACAGAGGTTTATGAGGTTTCTTATAAGTTACACAATTAAAAAAGCTTTTGGTGCATAATTTATCATAATAAAACCTGATAATAGCAAAGACAATCACAAACAATATATAATTACATTATAATCGAGAAATAATCTATTAATAATGAAATTATCGACCTAGGATGCAGTCTCTAAATTTTAGCACCAGTTGTAATTATTCGATGAATGAAAAAAGTAAGAAATAAAACCAATAATAATCGTATTTCAAACATTATTTGTAAAGCATTATATGCATATTTATAATAAATTTCCTGTTATTCATTTCTCTTTTTAGCCCAAGATATCGACAACTGAAAATAACCGTATACACTCTCAAAAACGAAAGATGTGTGTATTTTTAATTGCATTTGTATAAATTTGTTTTTTTTATGTAATTAGTATAATATGCTTGCGCGCAGAGATTAAGCGAGTTAAAACATCCTGCTGTATTTATATACAAAAAAGATTGACGATATAAGTATCAAATAAAAAAACTATTATGTATTCTATTCAATGAACAATTATTCCAGCACAATTTTATGCAAATCCCGGCAAATCCTCTTGATTCGAACAGAATTAGAATGGCAATTTAGCAAATACTGATATTTTGATCAACATTATATGTTATAACATGTACTTGATATTTTTCTAAAAATATTTAATTAGGTTCTTGGAGATTTAAGATGTAATTTGAGTGTCAGAAACAAAATGGTAATTTATGTAAGAGAATGTTACATAAAATATATACAGGAAAAATCATCACAATTTTTTTCATAAGGAATGATTAATTACATTTCTTTCGGAGCAAAAAAGAACGTTCACACACACATATTGGAATTAAAAGTTCTCGAAACTTTGAATTTAAATTTTCTATTCTAATTTGCCGTTTCAGCGAAATTATTGCGGTGCCTGTTACTTTGTGCATCGTTACGATTGGCAACTGTAGAATTTTCTTAATTGCTCGTAAAACTTTTTTCTTTCTTTAAAAAGAAATTAAGCCTTTTAATAAATCCGACAGATAATTTAATACCGTCATTTTTCTCTTTGAATCTGACATAGCAATATAATATTCTTACGGTTATATTATCACGCTCACATTTATTGGCAAAAATCGAGTGGAAAATTGATAAAAAAATAAAGAAAAAATACCTCTGTATTAAAAAATATTACACTATAATTTTCCTTTCTCTCTCATATTATCTGTATACTGCATTATTATTGATGTTATCGTATATTAATTGAAAGATATATATTATTTGTTTTTATATTCCTGTCTTTATACTTGAAAAGTTCCCAAAGCGACATCCAAGATTTCCGCTCTATTCGTTTTATTATAATCGTCTGTCTGTCGCGTAAACCAAAGACATTTATCGCTTTTATCGGGCGGGCTTCGAGGATTGACATGTCGTTAAAAAGCCAAGTACCTCGGCTCCGATCGATGGATCTGTTAGTGCATGGTCTCTCTCTCTATCTCTCTTTCCCTCTGGATGCAACATGGTGAGATACCGAAACGCGCGCGCGCGTTTTCCGCACAAACTCGTTTCGCCCGCGGCATATTTATTACTTCCGAGGCTTTGCGGATAAAAGCTTTTCTCTCCGTCAATCGCGGGAAAATTCACGTCTAATTCGCCGAATTTATAAGTCAAGTAATGCTTCGTCTTTTCGATACGATAATATAATATAATATATATCGAGGCACCGCGAATTATTCAATATCTCTCGATAAATATATACGCATAATATATATCGCGGACTGTTACAACTGTAAACACGTCATATCATATATGTATGTAATGACGCAGCTTCATCGTTGCTGCT